CAGCTCACGGTTGTAAATCTGTACCATTGGTATCCAATACCTATTTAAATACCCGGATAGCCACACTCACACAGTCACGCATATATGCCTTATTAATTTCTTTTTTTGGTGTGCGCCTTTGTCAGATGGAATACCACCGCCTGTCGACCGAAGTGGCCGGGCAGCAGAACGGAATGGATCCGAAGAGTGGACTCCAGCGCAATTACCAAAGGGTAAGTGCTCTACTCTTGTTCTTCCTCAAAACCCTATACCCTGTCAGTGCATGCTATATAACGCTTTCTGCGATACCTACATTCTACTTGTTGATCTGTAACTCAGCTGGCAATACTAAACCTTAAAACCCTAAAGCCTTATATATAACCTCCAGTGTATTGTTCTCCATCGCTGACATGCTGCCTACTAACCCACACCAGTTTAAGTAGACCCGAACTTTACCCCGCCCCCCCCCCCGAAAACCATAACTACGAATATCAAAAACCCTCATACCACCCTTAAATCCTGAAACCCCTTGTCAGGTCAAACTGCTGTTGCCGTTTGTATGGCCTGCGTCGTCGTTTGTGCTACAACTGCGAGTGGTGGGAGCTCTGACGCTGCTAGTCCTGGGACGAGTGGTCAACCTGTATGTGCAAAACTCAAAACTCTATACCCTATACCCTATACGCTAGAAGGAATTGATAGTATAGGGTTGGTAGTCTGTATGTCTGAAACTCTAAGCCCTAGTAACAATTGAAAACAATTGATAAAAAGGGTTGTTTATCTGTATGGTCTCTATGATAAGAGTGTACATGTAGTACACACGCCCTATCACTATACTAACTGATTCAACATACTCATATAAGGCCTGATATATACCCATCATAATCTATGGTCAATCAATACGTTTTAATCAATATGTTTCCTCAGTATCACATATGTGCATACCCATTATCCCCACACCATACTCACTCCATTGCCCAATACGTTTGCTCTGTACCAGATATGTGCCGATCTACTACAAACGTATCGTCGACCACCTGACAGCTCGTGCGGGTGTGACGATATCCGTCCCATTTGGTCTAATCCTGATGGTAAGCTGTGGGGCTGTGGTTGTGAGTGCCATGCAGATGACTGTGGTCGTAGTCTTGGCATATAGCGTGGGTAGTATAAAATACAGTAAGATTTGGTATGCATATATATATATATATATATATATATATATATATATATATATATATATATATATATATCCTAGCTAAAGCCCCATAACCCCATTCCTTTCGTAGTATGGCTTTCTGCGCTTGTTGCAAGGCAATGCCGGGCTAAACAACCTCCGCCAGTTGGTGTGGATCAAGGTCACACAGTACACCAGCAAGAAGATGAAGGTGCGCGTGTTCGAGCACTTGCACAGGTACGTACGTTGTACCAGGTCATTCAATGGATAGGCATTCTGTCATACTAGTGCCATTAGTCAAGTGCTTTAATAAACCCTGTCTTATGATGAATTAAGTTTAGGAGTTTTTGGGTTTTGGGTTTAGGATCTTATGATGAACTGAATACTGACAAGAGCGAATGTACTATATAGGGAGTGTGAAGGATGAGCCGACTCGATGCTATTTAATAATGTGCGTGTTTGACCACGCGACAACTGGATGTTCAAGGCCTTTGTGTGTGTAGTGCTGTCACTGTGAACTGTATAATGAGCATGTTATTACCTATTTTGCGATATATATATATATAAAAATATATGTGCGTGTTCATCTCCGTCTAATCACATTTTTTGGAATTCTGTCCTATACTATCTACAATTTCTTCGAGTATTTATTCATGCAACCATCGCTTTGCTTATGATTCTGTAATGTTTTCGTCACTCCGATATCTAGTTTGTCGCTGCATTGGCATTTAAATCGGCAGACAGGTGCCACACTTCGCATCATGGACAGGGGGTATGTGCAATAGAAACAATAATATATATATATATTTATATATATATGTATATATATGTATATATATATATATATATATATGCATTTATATATTAATGTTTATACAAACCTATTCTTATACATATGCTAATACGTATGCCTATATATACGTATGCTTATATATACGTATATATATATATATATAGTGAGCTCCTGTTAAGCTAAATATCTCAACGTTATATATGCCAATTTATTTTTCATTCCTTTGTGTCGCCCACGTGAGACTCTCTATAATCACTGACGACACGAAAATTGATGACTTCTCTGTGTCGACCAGACCCCAAATCTGGACCCTAGGGTTCAGCCCACAATATATATATATATATATATAGTTATATATATATATAAATATATATGGGTGTGTGTGTGTGTGTGTATATGTATCTA